AGCAATGCAACTGATGAAAACATCACTCTTACTTAATAACCTGGTGAAGAACCAGATGGCATCTGGTGGAAAACCAGCACCGTGAGTTTAAAGAGCCTGCCATGGCTGCCATCTAGGAGCCTGACCAAGTCCAGGTATTGATCATCGATGTATTATCTCCAATCTCCGATCAAAGGGAGGGAATGATTTAGAAAATAATATTTAGAAGCATTATTCCCTGACCTTGAGCATGGAGAAATGTGACCCAGCTGGGGCTGGGCCCTCACATACTCACAAAGACACATCAACTGGGCTTTGAGATAGACAATCTCAGAAATTATCTTAAGGAAGTTTTCACAAAAGGGCAATCAAACAGAACACAAAAGGCTTCCCACTTTTTGTCTCTTCCTATTAGCATTTAGTGAATAGAAATTTGCTGGAGCAATGAAGACCCTTCTGACTGTCATTCTGAAACCTATACCAATGACTGTTAAGAAAGATGATTCAAAATATAAGATCACAATTTCTAGCCCATCTGTGAAAAGGTGACACTTTCAATGATTCTGTAACCTTCCTTGGATTCAGGCAGACATTCTAGCTCTGGCAGCATGCTTGTCCACTTTCCACTTTTGTCCTTTTGAATATATGCCAAATAACATTTTATTTTTGCTTCACTAAACTTTATGATGTTTTTCCCCTACAACAGTGGCCAACCCTGGGTCCAGACGCTGTTGGATTATTACTCAACACAAGTATTGACTGAAGGCAGAATTACAAACTCTCTGTAATCCATAATACCTAGTGTTCATTCTATCATACATTTAGGTCTGCTTTAAAACACTAGGTAGGAGAAACATTTAATACCCATAGTACATTCAAATAAACATATAACTATTTAAAAAGCACTCCAGTTTCATCTTCTCTACCCCCTGACTATCTTCTCATTCATATGCATATGGCTTTGGGCCTTTGGCTGGGTGGAACCAGAAGACCACAGCTCCCTATCAATCATCTCATTTAAACAGCTTGGCCCTCGCCTCAAACCACTCCAGATGCAGCATAACTTTCTTTTCAGCCATTACAGGTTAATGACAACCAAAGTAACCATCTAATAATCAAAAGTTTTATTTCTTAAGCCCCTTCGTTCTTTCTCTTACGAAGTTTCAAGCTTCTATGAGTCTGGAACCATTGCAAAGAATCCCACTTCTGACATCAACTGCAAAAATGGCGTAGAGGCAGTGTCCTACATCCTCTAACTTCACAAGGGGGAAAGAGAATCCAGATCAACAGCCCAGGGCTGATTCCTATGAGGCAGAGGTCAGACATGTCTCCTTTCTCCATTGGCTTTATCAATTCTGACACCAACTGTCCCTCCCACGGCATTCTCTACTTCTCTGCTAGGTTCGATAATTCATTGCAATAGCCATACAGAACTCACAGACAATACTCACGATTATGGGGTTTATTAAGGAAGTAACGGATTAGAATTCAGGTTGGGGAATGCTCAAGATACAGTCTTCCATCAGAACAGTCTCTTTCCAGCAGTGCTCACCGGCAGGCCTCTCCCTGGCCCTTGGCCTCTGCCCTGCTCTTTTAGCTCTGCCAACAAGTGTCCAGAGGCACCTCACTCCACCAGTAAGCCTCGGCCCAAAGGTACTCAGCTTCCTTGCTCTGTGGGCTGGGAAGCCCACTGCGCCATCTCCTGCCGCCATTTCTCTGTCACCGCTTCTTCCGTCTTCAGTGTTACAGCTCTCTTTCTCTGTCTCCTGGTCCCAGGAGCTTGCCAGCACAGGGATCCCGAGTCCAAAGGATGAACTTTACTTCTGGTTGTTCTTCCTTGGTGGTGGTGAGATCCTCTCTACTCTGAAATTGGATCTCTTTTAAGTCTAGTAGGATGGCAAAACTAACCAATGCCCTTGATGGGCCACAATTACCTTGTTTACACAATTACCTTATTTACACAGTCCTACCCAATCACTTGAGCAGGAGTTACAAGACCATGGCCACACAAAACCAATCCATTACACCTTTGTTCTACTCATGTGGTGTATTACTTTGATTGTTTCTAATGTTGAACCATTTCTGCATTCTTGGAATAAATTTTACTTGGTTATTCATGGTATATGACTCTGTTGTGGAAAACACTATGACACTATCTTAAAAAACTAAAAATAGAACAACAACATGACCCAGCAATTCCACTTCTAGGTATATACCCAAAAGACTTGAAAGCAGAGAATCAAAAAGAGATGTGTACACCAATATTCACTGCAGGACTATATACAATAGCCAAAAGGTGGAATCAAGCTAAATGTCCATCAAAGGATGAATGGATAAATACAATGTGGTACATACATACAATGGAATTTTACTCAGTAGAAGAGAAGTTTTCACACATGGTACAGTATGGATGGAGCTTGAAGACATTATGCTAGGCAAAATAAGCCAATAACAAAAGGACAAATATTGGATGACCTCATTTATATAAAAAGACAGGAAGAGCCAAATGCATAGAGAACAAAGTTTATTAGTGGTTACCAGGAGGGGGAAAAGTGGGGTTAACGGTAATAGAAAAATCTCATTGATTAAGGGTAAGGTTGCACAATAGATTACTGTAATTCCTGTCAATAAGTTGTACACTTGTAAAAAGCTGAATTCACAAAAGTTGCGTAATGGATATATTTAGAACAATGACCAAAAACAAAAAAGTAGCTGCTGAGGTTGATTATGTACAACCAAAAGCCTCACGGGATCTGGTTCCTTGGTTTGGAGGTTTAGGGTCTTGGTTTCATGGGACATCCCAGTTAACTGGCCTAATAATGTGTTTAGTGCTTCTGTTCTACCTCCTAGTTCACTGCATAATGTCTGAGGTCTTAAAAGCTTGCAAGTAGTATCCAAGGCAGGACAATTAGTCTCTATTTGCCTGGAGCAACAGGGGAAGGAGAGTCTGGAATAGGAAGAGGAAATGGATGTGTGGCTAACCGCCTCCATGAGACCAGTAAAACTGGATGGTGCCCGTCTACCATTACTGAAAATTTTGACCGAAGATTCTATAAAGGAATCCTAATCAAAATGGGGAAATGCAGAACAGAATTTCAAATTCTCATGGACTCCAGACTTTCTGGAGCCATGGCGGCTAGATGAACCCCTGAAACTATTGCCCTGAGATAAACCTTAAACCAAAAATATCCCATGAAGTCTTCTTAAAACCAAACAATAGTTTAGCGTAACTGGTAAAAGCATGCCTGCCTTGAGCACTATGCTCTTTGAAGATCTATCCATATGAGGTCAAATTGACAAGAGCAACTTGAAAGTTTAGATAGAAACCTAGGAGGCAGTGAGTTTATGTTAATGGGGAAAGAACAACTCAGAAAAGGAGGGTCAGAACAGTTGCACAACTTAAAGAATGTAATCAATGTCACTGAATTGTACATATAGAAACAGCTGAATTGGTGTAGGTTTTGTTGTGTATATTCTCAACAACAACAATAACAGAATAAATGAAGCGTAGAGAAAAAATATTAGCAAACAGAAACCTATAGAACAAAAAGTGGTTTCTTCCAGGAATATAAGTATGTTTCAATATTAGAAAATCTATTAATATAATTAATCATATTAATAGATCTAAAGAGAAAAACTGAATAATGTCCATCGACGCCAAAAATGGCATGTAATAAAATTAAAAATCCAATCTTGATTTTTAAAAAGAAAAATTCTGCATAAAATAGAAATAAGTATGTCTCAACCTAAAAGCTAGCGTAGTTTAACGATGAAACATTACAACACTGCCTTAATATACATCAAGAAGACGAATCCACAATCATCACTTCTATTTAACACTATTCATTAGTCAGTACAATTAGCAAAAGCAGCGAGCAGCTTAAAACTTGGAAGGGAAGAGGTAAAATTATTCACAACTGGCATTAATGTATCTAAAACACCAAGCAATTAGAAGAGTTCATTTTGCATTAGAAAAGGAATCAAGGAATCAAAAGGAATCAAGCTTAATAACAAATGCACAAGACCTAAAAAAAAAAAAAAAAAAAATTTGTTTTAATTATTGAGAGAACATTTAAAAAGCCCTAGCTCACTAGACAAAAATAATATGTTCTTAGAAAGACCAAATACCAAAAAAAATATTTTATAAAAATCACCACCTGGTAGAAATTAAAAAAATCTATTATGGGTACTAACAAATTTAGAACTTGACAAATGTTGACATTAGATAATCAAATTAGGATATTATCACATGAGCCAAAAAAGAAAATCTATTAATAGCATTTAAAACAAACAAACAAACAAACAAACAAACAAAAAAACTTCCATGCTTCACACAGAAACAGCATTTCAGTAATCAGAGTTATAGGCCAAAATACCATTCTTCTGGCCTCCAGAGACACAACCAGGTTACAATTCACTTGTAAATTCTGACCCCAACCTATGCTCCATCTTTGGTAACTAAACAGACTTCAATTACATGTTAAATACTCTCTCCCTGTTCATCATGTTGAAGGAAAAAAATCAAATTAAAATTCGTATTATGATTTAGAATAGGCTATCATTCTACTTTGTATTACTACAGTATACACAAAAATGACTCCTGCCTATTGTAAGGTATGCTGATATCGGTGCCCCAAAGCAATGAGCTGACAAAAATAATGAATTTTCAAAGTCAACTGAGCCACAACAATGAGTGCAGGGGACTCTTAGCTCATTGCTGGGACTGAACTCAGATCACTGAGCTTATGGCAACAAAGCTGCCTTTGAAACCATGTTTTATTTCTACTTCTTCAGCTAAATAACTAATATTAGACTTCATTCTGTACTGTCTTCTTTTCACCATTTATAAAACGGGCCTGAAGGTAATTACCTAGCCTGCTTCCAGGATTACTAAAGCGGTAAAATGAAAACACAGATACAACTGCTCTGAAATGGTTAAGAAGTGCTATGCAGATGTATTACTACTATTTACACGTGACTCAACAGACGGTTATGACAGCAGAGGGCGCTGAACCACTCACCATGGGCTGATTCTCATCAGTGGGATTGGGAAGCAGGTGAAGAAGACTGTGCCAATGAGAAAGGGCTTCCTCCCCCACACATCAGACAGAGCACCTATGAGGGGGGCACTAAGGAAAGACAACAGACCCTGGAGAAGACAAAAGAAACAAAGATTAGATTTATAATTTGATCCTCCAATTACTTGTAATTCTTATTTTCTGAATGCATTAGCTCCAATTCATTTTATTGGTCTGCAAACAGAATTTGAAACATTAAATTACAAACTATTTGTGATTGCAAAGTGACCTTTTAAGAATTGTAACAAAATTTCTAAATGTGGTATTACAAAGGGAAGAAAGAGGTAACAAAAAAAAAGACTTGTTTTTCAGAAGAAACTGGAAAAGAGGTGATACGAAATACATATACCCACAGTTGGCCCTTAAGATGAGTATACACCAAGCATACAGGAAGAAGCCAGAAACTCAATTCATTTCAATAAATACATACTGCATATCTAGTATGTGCGAAGCTCTGAGTTAACTGGTGCAATGAAGACACCCAAATGAATACAAGCCTTCTGCCCTCAAAGGTTCTGTAACCTAAAAGGGATGAACAGGATGACTATGTATATACTAAATGTCTAAAAGAAAAGTAGATTCTCTCTCAGTGTAAAGGTTATATCTGCCTGGTGAATTTAGGAAGGAGATAGGGCAACTTGAACAACAGAGTTGAGGCTAAGGGGAAGGTAAAACAAAACAAAACAAAACAAAACAAAACCCGTTGGCGTCGAGTCGATTTCGACTCATAGTGACCCTACAGGACAGAGCAGAACTGCCCCATATGGTTTCCAAGGAGCACCTGGTAGATTCGAACTGCCAACCTTTTGGTTAGCAGCCATAGCTCTTAACCATTACGCCACCAGGGTTTCCAAGGGGAAGGGAGTCTGACATAAATACCACTACATATAAGCAAAGGAAGTAAAGAAACTAACACTACTTACCCACTATTTGGCAGTCATTTTGCTAGCCGGCCATCCTCATATCAATTACTCCTATGTTCTCAAAGCCCTGCAAGATGGTCACAGGCCTGCACCTAGACCCTGGTGCTACCCAGGATACCTCTAGCCTTGGCCCTCACTTCACATGCTCTGACTGCACATACAGCCACTAAACCAGCTGCTGACTCAGAGGCACACTATGTGTATCAGAGAAGAATTGTGCTGCACAGGGTTTTCAATGGCTAGTTTTTTGGAAGTAGATCACCAGATCTTTCTTCCGAGACACCTCATCATCTATGTTATTTATGACTGCTTTTCAATCTCTCGTTAGTAGTAACTTTTCTTCTGAGATCCGTACCTACAGCCAAAGGGACTTTTCAACTTGCACATTTCATGAGCACATCATTCCCTGTAAACCTCCTCCCACATTTCCCACCTTGGGTAAGAAGGCATCAAAAGCTTTCTCCCTCCATTCCCCAAAGGCTATTTTTCAGACTATGCTTTCTTCTTCATCCTCTCCTTCCATCCCCTGCTATGACACACTTCAGCTCAGAAGCCCTCAGAATTTCTTGCCTGGGTAAAACTGCAAAACAGTTTTCTTACTTCCCAATCCCTCCAATCTGCCCTCTACATATCTGTCAGTGGCCTTTAGAAGCTGCAAACCTCAGCTTTTTGATTCCTTCTTTAAAATCTTTCACAGGCTCTCCACTGGGTAGAGTTTAAAGTCTTCAGCAAGTATTTACGGATGAAATTATGAGCAACCAGAATTTGCTTTTTAAATATCACAGATAAAAATGGGTGTTGGAGGGGAGAATGGGGATGGATGAGACAAGAATGGGAAAATGTTGATAAATAATGAAACTGGGTGATGGGCACATGGGAGTCAATTATATTATTCTCTCTACTTCTGTGTTTGAATTTTCATGTTGCTGCTGTTAGGTGCCGTCGAGTCGGTCAAACTCATAGTGACCCTACGTACAACAGAACGAACACTGTCCAGTCCTGCGCCAACCTCACAATCACTGTTATGTTTGAGTCCATTTTTGCAGCCACTATGTCAATCCATCTCGTTTAGGGTCTTCCTGTTTTTCGCTGACCCTCTACTTTATCAAGCATGATGTCCTTCTCCAGGGACTGGTCCCTCCTGATAACATACCCAGAGTATGTGAGGCAAAGTCTTGCCACCCTTGCTTCTAAAGGACACTCTGGCTGTACTTCTTCCAAGGCAGATTTGTTTGTTCTTTGGGAAATCCATGGTACATTCAATATTCTTTGCCAACATCATAATTCAAAGGCATCAATTCTTCTTCGGTCTTCCTGACTCATTGTCCAGCTTTCACGCGCATACGAGGCTTGGGTTAGGCGCAACTTATTCCTTAAAGTGACATCTTTGCTTTTTAACACTTTAAAGAAGTCTTTTGCAGCAGATCTGCCTAATGTTATTGTGTCGTCTGATCACAGTTTAGCCTGACTGTTACCCCTCTATGCGACTTTTCGTTTTCCTCCAGAGGCTCTCAGGATTGTCTTCAGTTTTAGTGAGTGTGATTATAATATGCCTTGGTGATTTTCTTTTGGGGTCTAGCCTATATGGGGTTTGTTGAGCTTCTTGGATGGTCACCTTTTCATCTTTCATGATATTAGGGAAATTTTCTGTCAGCAATTCTTCAATGACCCTCTCTGTGTTTCCCACTTTCTCCCCGTTCTGAAACTCTGATCACTTGCAAATTTTTGCTTTTGATTATATCCCACATAATTCTCAAGGTTTCTTCCTTTTTCTTCATTCCTTTTTCTGATTTTTCCTCAAACAAATTTGTATCCAAGTGTTTGTCTTCAATTTCGCTGATCCCGTATTCCATTGTTTCAAACCTACGCCTCAGCCCTTCTATGACACTGTCCATTTCTGAAATCTTGTTTACCTTTTGGATTTCTAATCTTTGTTTTTGTATGATTTCTAGTTGTGAATGTATTTTGGAATTTTGTTCCTGTATTTTCCTGAATTCTTCCATCTTTTTGTCTGTATTTTCTATGAATTTGTCTGCCTTTTCCATGAATTTGTCTATTTTTTCCTCACTTTTGTCTGCTTTTTGCCTCAACTCTTGGATAGCTCTGAATGTTAGAGATTTGAATTCCCTATCAGGTAGTTCTAATGCCTCTTCTTCTACTGGAAAGGCATCAGTGTTTTATGTTGGATGCCTACTGGAAACACCCTGTCCTTTTTAAAATATGTTTTGATATTGTCTGCTGTCTACAGGACATTCAGTAATTATCTTCCTCATTTATTGATTGTAGATTTGTTTGTTTCATCCTGCTTTTTTGTTTTATTTGGATATGTCTGAGCAGGCAGGCTGTGCGTTCTTTGTTGCTTTTTTGTCTGTGAAGGGATATTTTTCACCTCCTTGTCCAATGGGCAGAGTCAGTCACTCAGCTATGGTGCAGCAGGGCAGGTCCAGCCGAAGGGGAGGAGCTGGGATGGGCTGTTTGTGGCACGTACTGGGGCCAACAAGATGAGCCGGGGATCACTGCAGGGCAGGTTCCGGTAGGCCGTGCCTGTGCTGCTCAGGATTGCACTGTTCAGCACACAGTGCAGACAGGTGGGGGGAGGGGAGAGGAGGCTCTAATGTGTGGAGCTAGGTTGGGTATGGGAAAGGAGAGAGAGGAGAGAGAAACAGAAGCCAACAAAAAAAAAGTGCTGAAGGAGTCTGCTGTTGGAGTGGTAAGATGAGAAACTGAGAAATGAAGAAAAACAACAAGGAATAAAAGGAAGGAAGGAAGAAAGAAAAAATGTCCCCAGGGATCTCACTGGCATAGCTGTGCACACCAGGGCAGCAGCTCCCAAGCTGCGCAGTACTCCTGGCTAGAAGGGGTGATACACAGTGCCAGGTATTCAGGAGACAGGAAAATAAGTAGAGACGAGGAACCAAGACTGAAGAAAAATAAAAAGAACAAAAAAGAAAAAAAAAAAAAGCCCCAAGGGATCCCACCAGTGTGGTGGCACGGACCAAGGAAGCAGTTGCCAGCCGAGTGGTGCTTCACAGCCTGTCAAGAAGAAGCAAAGATGGCACACAAAGTCAGGTGTTCAAAAGAAAGGAGGAGAAGGAGGTGAGAGGCAGGGAAGAAACCAAAAGAAGCCAAAAAAAAAAAAAAAAGCAACACCAGCAACAAAGAAATGTCACTGAAGAAGCCAGCTGGTGCGGGCAGGGCGAATCCGTGCAGCATGAAACCCACGTCTCCCATGCTGCGGTCACCACCTGCTGGGAAGTGGCGAATTGGCTTGCTTGGAGGCAGCAAACTGGCCTGCCAGAAGCAGCGAATCGGCCAGCTGGGAAGTTATGAATCAGTCCGCAGGGAAGTGGTGAAGGCTGAGCAGGGGGAGGCAGGGCGGGGGGTGGGAAAGTGTGTATCGCTGGTTACCGGGTGCTCTGTCTTCTGCAGGAAGCTCCATAAATCTGCTTTCCCGTAATTCCTGCCCTGCCGATCTCCGACAGGAGTCCAAGACAGTGGATCCATGCTGTGTTAGCTGATTAAGGGACCTCCGCTTGTAACTCTCCTCACTCTCTGTTCTCTGTTTCTTACTCCATTCGGTGCTTGGTTGAGTTCTTATCTCTTTATCTGATGCTTAGGGTTCCAGGATTGACATTTGTCTCTGTTTTACTTAGTTTTTTAGGTTTTTGCTGTGGAGGGACAGTGTGGTGCTTTTGTCTATACTGCCATGTTGGCTCCACCTTGTGTCATTTCATTTTTTGACTGCTGCTTCTATGGGCGTTGATTGTGGATCCAACTAAAATGAAATCCTTGACTTCAGTCTTTTCTCCGTTTATCATGACGTTGATTATTGGTCCAGTTGTGAGGAATTTTTTCTTTATACTGAGGTGTAATCCATACTGAAGGCTGTGGTCTTGGTCATCATCAGTAGGCGCTTCAAGTCCTTTTCACTTTCAGGAAGCAAGGTTTGTGTCATCTGCATAACACAGGTTGTTAATGAGTCTTCCTCCAATCCTAATGTTACATTCTTCTTCATATGGTCCAGCTTCTTGGATTATCTGCTCAGCATATAGACTGAATAAATATGGTGAAAGGATACAACTCTGATGCACACTCTTCCTGATTTTAAACCATGCAGTAACCCCTTGTTCTGTTCGAATAACTGCCTC